TCAACAATGATAGGTTATGTTCATACTAGCCTTTAGAAATAAGCAGGTGCTAAGCTTAGAAGGACTGAATGTGAAAGATACCTAGGGAAGTATGCACCAAGGCCATAATCTTCAAACTTTTACAGTCCCTTAGCCTCACAAAACTGCAGAAGCTTGTGTGCTTATAGATTTTATTTATTTTTATTTGCGAGAGAGAGAGAGAGAGCGCGCGCATGCGCATGCGAGAGAAAGAGAGAGAGAGAGCACAAGCAGGGGGAGCAGCAGGCAGAGGGAGAAGCAGGCTCCTTGCTGAGCAAGGAGCCCAATGCGGCACTCGAACCCAGGATCCGGGGATCATGACCTGAGCCAAAGGCAGCCACTTAACTGACTGAGCCACCCAGGCGTCCCTTGTGTGCCTTATTCTTTTTTTTTTTTAAGATTTTATTTATTTATTTGATAGAGCAAGAGAGCACAAGCAGGGGGAACAGTAGAGGGAGAGGGAGAAGCAGGCTCCCCGCCAAGCAGGGAACCCGATGCGGGGCTCGGTCCCAGAACCCTGGGATCATGACTTGAGCCGAAGGCAGACACTTAACCATCTGAGCCACCCAGACACATCTTAAAATGTCTATTATTTCACCCCATTAAGATATAGGAGTAAGGCAATAAAAGATGAATTTCCTGATAAACATTTGAATGCCATTACAGGGGTGGCTGGCTGGCTCAGTTGGTAGAGCATGACTCTTGATCTCGGGGTTGTGAGTTCAAGCCCCACACTGGGTGTGGAGATTATTTAAAAATACAGTGTTTTAAAAATAAATAGATAGGGCGCCTGGGTGGCTCAGTTGGTTAAGCGACTGCCTTCGGTTCAGGTCATGATCCTGGAGTCCCAGAATCGAGTCCCACATCGGGCTCCCTGCTCGGCGGGGAGTCTGCTTCTCCCTCTGACCCTCCCCCCTCTCATGCTCTCTCTCTCTCATTCTCTCTCTCAAATAAATAAAATCTTTAAAATAAATAAATAAATAAAAATAAATAGATAAATAAATGCCACTACATGCCCGAAGGAGTAGCAGTAAAACTTGGTTTTTAAGACAACTGTCAATTCTCAGATCTGCAGCCACCCTGCCTAGTGGGGACTTGAATACAAAAAAAATCACATGGATGAATTTAAACTTCCTCTCTGAACTGAGAGGGCAGTTATCAGCAAGAGCTGTAGAGTCAATGGTAATTTTGTGAGCCTCCTAGAGCCATAAAAACTTAACTGCTGTGTAGGACTAAAGCAAGCATCAGATTTACCAAATAGAAGGTTCCTGTGATTAATACATGTGCGCTACTCAGAGGTTAGCGAAGCCAGCAGTTGTAAGGTTTTGATAACATCCATAATGGGGCCACCTAGCAGTTGCCAAGAATGACTTAAAATGCCCCTGAATGCTGTAGGGCATTCCGGCTGATTCTGAAAAGTCAGAATAGTAGGAAAAGCCAACCCTAAGATATAGCTCAGGAGGTTCTGGGCATCTTCATTAAGAGCACTACTGGAGCTATTTCTAAAACGTGAGATGACCCTTTAGCATTTGGGGAGCTGAAGTCTGACAGCATCCAAGATTTTAAAATAAATTGTTTTTGAGGTGTCCATTCATTTGGCAAATTTGAGTGACTATTATGTACTGGACACTTGGGGGCGTACTATGTCTAGTAAGGCGTGGTCTCTGATCAGAAGGTGTTCACCTTCTAGTAAAGTCAAAGATTTGCAAACACAATTATACTACAAGACAATTCTATATAGTTGGGATGCCCATGAAGTGCAGAAAGTGCATAAACAATCCTAAATCTTCACAAAGAAGCATCTGATCCAAGTCTTGGATAAATGGGAATTTGCCAAGTGGAGAAGCAGAAAAAGGTTCTTCTGAACAGTGAGAACAGCATATGTAAATGTTCTAGACATGAGAGACAATATTTTTTGATAACTACAAAACATGTCAGTATTATCTGAGCAAAAAATAAGAGCAAGGGCATCTGATGGTGTGGACTGGGGTCTAAAAAATGCTACTTCCTCCATAACTCAAGTAGCATCCTTTACCTTCAGCTACCTGTTAAAGTTGAAAAAACATTTTGATATAAAGGAGTTTGATTGGAAAAGGACCTGAGCTGGTACAGTAGCTAGTTTAATAGTCTTTGTTTCCTTGTCTGCTCCTTATTTTTATACTGTATATAGATCTACTTATATTGACCACACAGCAGTAAAATCACTAGAAAAAGTGAAGTCTCCATATGAAATGCGTACAATTTGCTTTGTGAATTCAACAAGTTCCTTATCCCTTCTTTTGGTGGGGGAAGTGTCTAACTGATCTTGCTCAGCCCAACAATTCATCCTTTGATAATCTCTAATATAGCTTGCATCCAGGAGCCTTATATAACCATGTTATTTGCTCAGTAGAGAGGAAGGAATGGTAGATAGAAATAAAATATTCTAGCCTTTAACTTCTAATACTTCATTCTCTATTCTAAAGTTAACTAAACTCTCCACCCCTATCTGGACCTTTCTATTCACAAAGCTGCATCTTTTGTGCAACCCTATTTAAAACAACCATTTATAAATTTATTTCTATTTCACAGCCTGAGATGGGATTCATCCTGCTTTTCACACTAAACTCAACATATTTTAAACTACAAAGACCTTTATCAGGTTGTAAAATATGACCTAACATTTAGCCTTTGGTAAAGAAACTTAAACAGAGGAAAATTCAAGATTGGGGGGTTCTTACTTGTTTTGTATATATATTATCCATATATCTGTGGATGTATATATATCCGTATATTCTCCATTTAGCCTATGTCTTGAGATAAATAATTCTCTGGCAAGCTTTCACAGGGCCACAGAATTGAATTTTTATAGGCAAATAAACATTTTTAAGAATGGGAATGACATCATAGGAAGGAAACTAAACGGAATGTTGGGGACCCACGTTCAAGTTCTAGGTTTGCATGTAACTAACTATCTGTCCTTGGATACGTTGCTTAACCAAGAGCTCTTGTCTTTAGTATTTATTTCTCTAAAAGGGATTTGAAGTAGAAAACCTCCAAGTTCAACAAATATATGGCCTGACTTTGGGACCAATATTGATTTCAAATCTCTTGTGACTTTAACATTTGTAAATAATAAATATCTCAAATACTAATATTTCAGACTCTCTTCATGCCTGGACATACTGCAGAGATTTGGTCTTGATTTAGAATATAGAGTCCTACCATATCTTTATTCTTTTCCCATACTAGAATTATGTGATTCTAGGATAGATACAGAACAACATTCCATTCCATATCCACTATGCCACCTCCTTCTCAAGTCATTCCTCTTCCAAATTTTCAGCCACTTTACTGTTAAACTTTTCTACCTAAGCTATAGTTATCTTCAGAACTATATAATTTATCTTTTTCTAAAGTCTATATAATTTGTTTTTAACTCACAATGGTATTTGTTTAGAACAGCTGGATTGAATGCTTACTGTGTATAATATGTGTAATGGAACCTTAATTGCAATACTGATACAGGGAATGGTGTAGAATTCAGATAGTGATTTTTGTCAGAGAAAATTTGGAAATTATTTGTAGATCTTAGTTACAATTTCCAGGGGATTTGCCTTTATTTTCTCTGTGTTCCAGGTCTTGCCTGAAATTTAGAAGTCCCTTTGTTCCCCTTCCTTTCTGGTGCTATCAGTGGTGGTGATCACTGGGAAGAAAAGCCCACTTCCACTGACCATGGAGAACACTCAGCATCTCTGCTTGATTGTGACAAGGGCAGTTTTTGGATGGATCATGAAATGCTTCTAAAGTAGCCAAGAGTTAATTCTCCTAACTTTTTTATATAATAAGCATGTTACCATCAAGGTAACTTACCCAGTGGAATCAACTACTAGTGGAATCACATTATTTATACATGTAACTTATGCAAATTTAGCTTTACTAAAACACAATAAGAAAGTGCATGAGAGAGAAAAATAATACTTTAAATAGCGCATGTTTAACCATCCTTTTCAGGCAGTGGATAAAATCAAATCTGAAACAGTCAATTCATGTTGGTGAAAGTTACCAAAGGAATGTGAGGATGATTTTAAAGGTGATTGATAAAGCATGTTCAGGTGGCCAGGCAAGTGGGTTGGAGAGCTTCTTTGACATTTACAAGGCTTATTGAAGGTTGTTGAGAAGCTATACTTAAGAGTTAGAGGAACTGACAAAATCTTTTATAAAGAATGACATGAGGAGAACAAATTGAAATTTTTGTAAATTTACTTAAGTGTACAAAGGAGTGAAACATCTGGTTAAATTTCTGAGTGTTCTTTATGGATTTTCAGTGGTTATTTTTTACCATACGCTATTACCTCTTTACAACTTGTCGCCTAAGTATGATGCTACCCCACCCACCAAATGTACCAATTTAGTTTGATAGTGTAAATTGGGTAAGACAATGGGTAATTTCATTAAGAAGCCAGTTCTTGGCTGATAATTCCATTATTTTTAAAATGTGGCATGATCTTCTTTCTCATAGTAGAAGAAGTCTTTGAATTTAAAATCTAGATTCTATAATAAAATGACTGTTTCTTGACCATCCTGGTAATTTGTGCCATCTACACCATTTTACTTTGTTGCTGCTAGGGTCTTTTTCCACCCATATCTACAGCTTAGACAGTTACTACCTTGGGATTGTTAAAAAAAAATAATAATAATAATAATAATAATTGGCTGGGTGCCTGGGTGGCTCAGTTGGTTAAGCGACTGCCTTCGGCTCAGGTCATGATCCTGGAGTCCCGGGATCGAGTCCCGCATCGGGCTCCCTGCTCAGCAGGGAGTCTGCTTCTCCCTCTGACCCTCCTCCCTCCTGTGCTCTGTCTCTCATTCTCTCTCTCTCAAATAAATAAATAAAATCTTTAAAAAAATAATAATAATAATTGGCTAAATTATTATTTAAACAGATAATGTTTTACTTGTACCAAATATGTGAAGTACATTTTTCTTTTATGATCATACAGGTGAACATGATTAAAGATGATGGGACAGTTATTCATTTCAACAATCCCAAAGTCCAAGCTTCCCTTTCTGCTAACACCTTTGCAATTACTGGTCATGCAGAAGCCAAACCAATCACAGAAATGCTTCCTGGAATATTAAGTCAGCTTGGTGCTGACAGTTTAACAAGTCTTAGGAAGTTAGCTGAACAGTTCCCTCGGCAAGGTAGGTATTTCAGTTTAGTATTTTTCCTTCTCCACTGTAATCTAAAGAACCTAATGATTTAAAAGGTGTCCCATTTTATGCTGGAAGGATTTACTTGTATGTAAATTTTACTTTTAAAAGTGTTGCTCATATGCTTCATAAATTTTTTAATTTGTTTCTTTAAAAACTGTGCATGCAATGTAGCATATAGAATATATAGATACATTCTGGTAATAATAGAGTTGAGAGGTAACTACCTAAAAGATTTACAGACCACATTTTACAGACAGTATTTGATACTCACTTCTGACTAATGACAAGAAGAAGATATTGTTGTTAGAGAACTGTATTTTTGTTTAATATTGTTGATTGAACTATAGGCATGGCAACTGTAAGTTCTGAATTTCCACAATAGCCCTGGTTTCAAATGTGTCTTCTCACCCCCAAAAATCAAAGAGCCTTTTACATCAGTGCCCATACTACATAGCTGGATACTTTCTTACACCAGAAGAGATGGAAAGTCTTGAATATTGATTTTTGATTCCAAGCATATGGAATTTGTGGAATAAATTAACTATAATGTCTTTTTATTCCAGCTCATCAGAATTATTTCATTTTCCAAATAAATTTTACCTTCACTGCCCATTGAAACTGCCAGCTATATTTAGTATATACCTAATGAAGTTAAAGTGTTATTGATTTTAGTGTTAAGTAAAAAATATGATATTAGACAGTCTTTGGCTTTTTCTGAACAACTATGTAAGATTTAGACAGGAGAAAAGAATGAACATTATAAGTGTTCTGTAAAGGCCTTTGTTCTCAAGAACTAATATTAAAATAAACGTTTTGTAGTGTTGGATAGCAAAGCACCAAAACCAGAAGACATTGATGAAGAGGATGATGATGTTCCAGGTAAGTGACATTTCTTTAGCTCTAAGATTTTTAGCAGCCTGTTTATCTCATTTAATTCATTGTATAATGACTTTTCATTTTTGTTGATGGTGAGTTCATGAATTTAAATTGATTCACAATAATATGGATACAATCTAATGAAAAAGAATGAAAGTCCTCCCATTTAGAGCTTAGAAATTGTCACACAAAGCTCTGCTGCCTACATTTGTTAAATTAGAATCACTGTGATTTTAAATTTGCATAGTTATTGTTAAAACATTTCCGTGGGAATTGTGATTGACATATGAAAATGCTGTTCACCTTAGTTTGCACAGACAAAAAAGACTAACATTTCCTTAGGATTACTGTTTTAAAAGCAGATAAATGAAGCATTATTAGTGAAATGCCACCAGTTCATTTCTGCTTCTTGTCCTGTAGGTTTTTAGGCAAATTCTAATAGCCACAATTTGGTTTTTATTAGGATTAGAAGTTAGGAATTTCATTTACCTCTTTTTCTTTTTTTATATCTTTAACTCATTTACTTTTTTTTTTTTTCCAGATCTCGTAGAAAATTTTGATGAGGCATCAAAGAATGAAGCTAACTAAAAGTTTTTCCGGAGTGTGGAAGCTGGCATGGACTAGATTTAACAAATCAGCTATGTGGTTCCAAAGTTTTACAGACATGGAGAACATCAACTGTTACTAGTTCAGTAATATAAATATTTTGTATATTAATAATGCTGTTTGTTCAGCATTTTTCGGTCATTTGATTTTGCATTTTGCACTTCCTCCCAGGATCTATTCTTTTGGTCAAAATACGAAGTATTGGTGCAGTTTGAGGGCGTTTTGGTGTTTCATTCTCAGTTTTTTGTTTTTTTGTTGGGGTATTTTTGGTGTGTGTATGTGTATGTATGTGTGTGGGTATGTGTGTATACAGTGGAGAGCAAATTGGAAAACAGTTCTATTTATCCTCCTTCTTCCCCCAGTAGAAAATAAAACAAATCTTTACATTTGTTATTTTTAATTTTTTTCTAATGCACAGAATTAATGAAAAGTGAGTATCTTGGATTTCAGATCTGAGGAGATTTTACCCTTGGAAGTTTGGTTTTAATTTGCTTTGTTAACATATTTTTTATACATTTCTCTGGGTTTAAAATGTCTTGAGATATTTTGCCACCAGCTCCATGTTGGCATAGGGGTAGCATATCTTTGGTGCATTTGCCTTAGATTCACTTACCTAGTCAGACCCAGAAGATTTTCTTCTAGCTTTCTTCCTAAATGCCCTTTTCCCTCTCCTTTTGGTCTCCCAGTGTCCTGGTCAGCCTTTGGTAATGCTCTTCCTCATCTTCTACCTAGCCTGAGAAAGATGTTCTCCATATAGAGTTAAGTGAGTGCCTAATCCCTCTTTTGGTAAGACATTTTTCCCTCATCTTGAGGAACAACAGCTCCATCTTCAACTTTTTATTTCCCCCTTGACTCTATAGTTTGGTAGATTTCAAACTGGAATAGCTAGCATGTGTTTGTTAAATAATTTTATGCCAGCCTTATCCTGTATACTAGCTGTTCTTAATAGCAGGTACAAAAATGCCTGTTTTCAGCAAGGTTAAAATTAGGAGTGTCCTTTTGAGTCAGAAAAAGATAGGCCATAGACTCATTCCCCAGCACAAATGGTCATTCTTTGAAATGGTACTGGCTCCAGGAGGATTTCTTCAGTCACTCTCCTACTCTTGGTCTTGAACCTACCTCTGGATTGGATCTTACTGTTGTAGCTGCTCACAGCATCCTCCTGCATGCTTAGAGTAATGCTTTTGGGGGAACACTAGTAAAATACAGTATTTATTTTTTTCACCTCCTTTCAGAGGACTTGGAGGTAAGTTGCATTCATTAATTCAGGTTTCCCTCTTGCTGTCTGATGATAAAAGCTTGCATTTTGCTATATCAGCATTTGTTACAGCCAATATTTAAGGATAAGATTTAGAAAATCTATCATTTCCTGGCCCACCAGCAAACTAACTATGGCTTAACCTTGCAGCATATCTACTTTTCTTTCAAGCTAGATATCTTTATTTGATATCTAAAGTGCAAGACCAACAACATATCAAGAGATCTGTAGACAAGAAGGCAAAGCTCTTGTATTTTTTTCATCCAGACACTTCAATTTATTTTATAAATTTGTTCATTTTTCCTGTTCTGTTTTATATAATATATGGACTTAACTACAAAATAAAGTAACAGTAATAAAATAACAAAAGAGGATAATATTTCCTCTTGTGCTTCTCTTATTATTGTCTACAGAATTTCCTTCTTTTGTATTTCCTCTCTACTCCCCAACCCCAGATGAATTTCAGCCCAGTCATTATTTGAAATAATGTTTCATCCATTGTTAGGTTAGTAGCTCTAAATGATCCACATAGTCCAGAATTCTTTTCCTCTGACTGTCCCTGATGGGCACATTGTGGGACAGAGAGAGTTATGGAGACTTCCAAGTGATTAAGGACATATAAGAGATAGTATAGCAAATGAAAAAAGAGCACTCATCTGGAAATCAGGATACTTGGATCCTAGTCCAGGCTTGGCATTAACTATGTGAGCTGGGCAGGTCACCTAACTACTCTGAAGTTCATCATCAGACAAGTAAGATGTTTCTAAAGCTTAATATTTTTTCTGCTCCTGTAGTTCGGTGAATCTCATTTCTGAAAATTCTCAAGGAACTGATTTTATATATTTCCAGAAATGCCTGTTTTTATCAAGACCCATAAAGCTTTTTTGTATGTATATACTCTTTACTCTTTTTCCTTTTTGATCACATTGTAACTACTCACCCAGAGGAGCTCTGGTCAGTATTTCCTTTTATCCTATGGACAGCAACTCTTAATGGCTGGCTTCCTTTGGGTGCAATGAGCCAATACTCTTTTTTGTCTTGTATTTTCATACCTTCCCCTTTCCTGGACAAAGCGTATTGAGATCTTGACTCAATCCAAAGAAGTGTTCCTGCCTTCAGAGTGAGCAAGCATGAATAAGAGTATGGATGAAACTTTGTAAATAGTGTTCTTGGCATAAATATTACACAGCTTTTTAATATAAGATGTAGTTACTAAATGTATACTTTCTACGAAGATCATGTATTTATTGCCAAGATAACTATAGAATAAGCATTTTCTGGGAAAATTCACCTTAAAATTTGGGAATAATTCAAGAAATGTCTGTACAAAATTGATTCATGGTCTTAGTTTTTGTGATTAGTCCTTTCCATTCATGTGAAGGTCCTCATTTATCTGTCTTGGGGAGGCCCAAAGTAAATAGTTGGGACCCTATAGTTGTTTTATCCTACTCTTCCTATTAAGTAATGGTTTAAGAATTGGGGCGCCTGGGTGGCTCTGTCAGTTAAGCGTATGCCTTTGGTTCAGGTCATGAGCCCAGGGGCCTGGGATCGAGTCCCACGTTGGGTTCCTTGCTCAATGGGAGCCTGCTTCTCCCTCTGCCTGCCGCTCCCCCTGCTTGTGCTCTCTCTCTGACAAATAAAATCTTAAAAAAAAAAAAAGAATACATCAAGCACTTTGATTTGTTGTTAAGTAATTAGTATTTATGGGATTCTGTTAATTTAATATGCATACGAGGTTCCTGTGAAGACCCATATTGGGCTGTGTTTGATTTGTTTCTTTGTTGTAATTCAGTGTTTAACCTAACTATGCTATATGTCCATAAATGACATCATGATTGGACAGTATGGTATAGTAGGAAATGCACAGGTTTTTAGATAGAGGTCAGTTTCATTACCTACCGTGCTGTAACCTTTCTAACATGGCTGCTGCAGTGCACAACTTCAGGGGCCATCATTCATATTTGTTGTGTTCCAGGGAGCACCATTTTCATAGAATACAGTGTGAATAGTGCCCCTGTAATAGTGCAGTGATGGCCTTGGTCTCTGAACCTGTTTCCTCTTCTGTAAAATGGTGCCTGAAAAATGGTCAAATAGGGTTCCTTAGAATTCCTTAAATGGTTAATGTGAAGATGAAAGTGATTCAAGTGTGTCATCTCCCAAGCCATGGCAGAAAGGAGTTCACGGTTCTAGGCACAGCAAGGCTCCATTCTACACTGTTACCCTCCAGTTCAACCTTTATTGCTCTGCCAGATAGGAGTTTGCCTGGATTATCATAGCCTCCCCATTGGTCTTGTTTATGAGTTACTCCCTTCAGTTCATTCTCTACACAGGAGACAAACTACCTAAATTTCCTATCTGAGCATGTCACCGCCTTAAACATTTATCTCCAACATGCCATTCTGTTTCAAGCTACCATTCCTTTGCACATATTTTTACTATGGTACAATATTAAGATTATTTAATTTTCTTTATGCTTTGCCCCTCTAGATCATGAGCACCTTGAGGGCAGATGGGGTGTCATACATCTTTTATCTCCAACATATAGTATAGTAACCAACATGTAGTCTACTCATGATCATAATAACTAATACAGAGTGAATACTTAACTGTTGGATACAGAGTTATCTCATTGAACTCTCAAACAGTCCAGTGGGACAGATACTCTATCCTACTTTTTTTATTTTTACTTACTTTTTAAGTAAATTCTACATCCAACATGGGGCTTGAACTCATGATCCTGAGATCAAAAGTTGCATGCTCTACTTTCCGTGCTGATAGCACTCTTGCAAACATGGTGAACATTCCTAAAACCTGCCAAACTTTCTGCAAGAAGTGTGGCAAGCACCAACCACAAAGTGACACAGCACGAGAAAGTAAAGATTCTCTTTATGCCCAGGGAAAGCGGCGTTATATGGCAGGAAGCAGAGTGGCTATGGTGGGCAGACTAAGCCAATTTTCCAGAAAAAATCTAAAACTACAAAGAAGATTGTGCTGAGGCTTGAATGTGTTGAGCCCAACCGCAGATCTAAGAATGCTGGCTATTAGGAGATGAAAGCATTTTGAATTGGGAGGAGATAAGAAAAAGGGCCAAGTGATCCAGTTCTAAGCTTCATATTTTGTTATATTATGAAGACAATAAAATCTTGAGGTTATGTTAAAAAAAAAAAAAGTTGCATGCTCTACTAAATAAGCCAGCCAAGCACCCCCGTCCTACTTTAAAGAGGAAGAAAAAATGGTTCAGGGAAGGTGCCAAGAGTTATACAACTGATTGGTGGGAGAACAAGGATTCCAATCTAAATCTATCAAATTCTAGAGTCTAAACACTAAACATCACCCCACACCATTCAACAAATAAACACTGAAATGAAAATTATGTTTATGTGGCCTACAGACAGATAACCTCATATATACTCAAATATCACTCAACATTAGTCTGTAAATCAAACGTAAAGACTTATTTAAGAAGTAAGTTTGAAGCTTTTTTAAAGTAGGATTTGTAATTTTTTGTATATTCAGGAATTGACTTTCATAAACTTATATATTGCATACCTGGGATAGGATCCATAGTTGGAAGTGTTTGGGCAAAAACTCTTAGGTTGCATATGTTGATCTCCTCGACACTGGTGTTTCTTCTGAAAATTTTGCCTAAAAAGGGTTGCATATGTTGATCTTGACACTGGTGTTTCCTCTGAAAATTTTGCCACCTTTTAGGCATACCTTGTCAAAAATATTCTGTAAACTTGAGCAAGGTGGTGATGAATTTATCCTGCAGACACGCTTTTTCTTTTTAAATATCAAACAAAAACAAGTTTAGCGGTGCCTGGCTGGCTCAGTTGGAAGAGCATGTGACTCTTGATCTCAGGGTCATGAGTTCAAGCCTCATGTTGTGTAGAGATCATTTAAAAAAATAATAATTAAGGTCAGTAGGTTAAGCATCTGACTCCTGATTTTGGCTCAGGTCATGATGTGAGATAGAGCCCCATGTTGACTCCACACTCAGCAGGGAGTCTGTTTCTCTCCCTCTCCTCCCTCTCCCTCTGCACCTCCCTCTGCTCGTTCTCTCTGTCTCTCAAATCTTTAAAAATAAATAAATTTAAAAAACAAAAGTCTACAAAAAACTAATAAATTTGG